CCCAAATGTGCAAAATATGAACAGACTTTTGATCATTGCATTCATATTTTTTATTCAATTTATTATAGATTAAATTAAGAACGAGCCACCCATTTCTGGAAAATGTGAGAATACGCTCGTTTTTATAACAATAAAGTAATGATAAGGTAAGAATTATAATAACATTCAGAATATTTTGTTTAATTGAGGCTTATGAATAATTTTAGTCATCTGTTTTGGGGCGTAAACTCATTCAAATCAAACAACTGTCTATGTGACATTCTTCCGATGTAATCTATTCCCGTTGATAATGTGCTGTAAATAACTTTTTTGCACTCATAAACTTTTTTGATGACATTGGAGCATTCAACAGTATGCGGGACGTCGAACATCACGCACAAATGCGTTTTGCTATGACGTCGTTGTTTATAAATAATGCTGCCTTACTCGCTCCTCGCTTTCCAATTGTGCATAATTTTTAATAATTTACAAAAATAGTTTTATTTTCAGCGAGACCGACACTTGAAAATTATTAAAAATATTATTATTATTATGTCGTGGATATGGATTTTAAAATCATCAGCTGACGTTCAGTCGAGCGACTGGTCTGCCGTGGTCCATACGTAGCGCATAAATTTCAACCCCCTAGCCCAATTTTTTTAGTATTGTTACACTACATCTATCCAAACTGATATACTTGTCCTTGCAAAAATGTTGATGACGTCATCGCAAAAATTTTTTAAAATGCTCCGCTACAAAAATGTAATGAGAAAAAAAAAACATAATAGGCATGGCGTCGTTACTTTTCTGACAGCAAGGGAATACGGTCTAAACTCTTTGGACCATTTTTTTTATTAATATCTCTCGAAAAATAGGATTAGGTTAAATCCCGTAAATATGAATTATTTTGTTAAAATGGCAATATTTTCATAAATTTCCATTACATAAAATGCGGAATATATAACCAAACCACGATAACAAATGAACGAGTTTCGTGTATAAAATTAAATTCTGCGGTAATCATGGTAAAATGATAAAACGGAAAACGAAATCTAATCTTATCTGGTATCCATTTTCCTCATGAATAACAATAACACAGGAAATAAAATTTTTAATTTCAGTAGATATATTTGCTTAAGGATATTCGATTCCAAAAATAGGCAAATCTTTAAGGGTTATTTTAGTTTTATAATTTTTCAGAAAGGCTGAATCTGTTGGACTGTACTTCAGGGGGTGTAAATAACCTTGTAACAATATTTTTGTTTTAGGAAAATTTCAATTTTGTTTAATTACAAAATGGCAAGAAATTTTTTGCATTACAAAAATTAGGCAAGATGTTAAACAGGTAGAAACAATTATGACCGTAGGCGGTCTCCGCTTCCTGTTCTGAGTTTATGGTTTCTGAGAGTAATGCAACAATCACAACAATACAAAACAAACGCTATGTACGCTAACATTTTTTCTTGTTTCTTGCAGCTGGGTAATACTTTCTTCGTTGAAGGTCCAGTTCATCCATGGGAATGTTAAAACCGACAGTTTTTCTCGCAAAATTTTCATGTTCAAGTAAACATGAAGATCGTTTGAAGTCTTTCTTGCCGGGATGTTAGGTAGAAAAAGTGATGCTATAAAACAAAAAAAAATCAGTCATAATGTGACATTTAATCGACCAATTTAGTTTTCAAAAAAAAAAAGAAGTTGTGTGTAATTATACTTCTACGTTAAACGTGATATTGCTGAGGAAATAATTTTTTCATTCGGGGAAAAATTATTTAAAATATGACGTCACAAACACATAATTCAAGTTCTGCTTACCAGTAGGAAACGAAGCATTGTTCTTTTGGACTTCTTCCTTTTGCGTGAAGAGTTTATCCGGCAAAAGCTCGGAATAACCAGACTAGAGAGCTCTCTCGATGCCCTAGAAAAAATATATAAGAACTAACATTCACAGATTACAACACAAACAGTTTTTCAGAGCAATTTGTGTTTTGGTAACAAGAATTTTTTCTTTAGAAAAAAACACATTTATTTATGTTATTATCGTAATGAAACATTCCAGAATGACAATTTAGAAGTTTCCGTGACTCAAGAATGATTTAACAAACATGTTAGTAATCGAGGATACACGAACTGGACAATGAAGAAGTTCGTTCAAATTATTTCCTTAGAGCAAGCCACGCTCATTAAGTACGAAGAGACTAAGAGGTCTATTTTGTAACAACTATCGTCTCGTTAGATAGCGATCGCATCGTTAGAATGTCATCGTTCCGGAACGATAGGTTTCAGTTGACCGTTAAAAGTGTCAGAACACGTTAGAAAAATATTTATACAATGGAGAGGAACGTTTTGGTGCAAATATTGGTAGAAGTAGAGAGAAGGTAAGTGTAATTAATGTATTTTTGGATTAGGTTATTATATATTTTTTTTTACTGCAGGGACAGAATGAGAAATTTGTCTCGGTTTTTAAGAGATGTAAACGACCCCTTCTTCGTTCCAGAAGAATCCTTTAGGAAGACCTACCGACTGTCAAGGCAAGCGGCAAGGGATGTATTTCAAGAAATACTGCCCCGAATGGAACGAGGAAGGAGGGCAACAAGAACTCCGTCAGTTGTAAGATTTATGGTTTCCTTACATTTCTTTGCCCAAGGAAGTTACCAAAAATCTGTGGGCAAAGATCAACACTGCGCCGTCTCGCAAAGTGTAGTCAGCAAATCTCTGAAGGAGGTAACAAACCTTTTAGTGGAAATTGCTCCAAGATACATACAGTTTCCCAGAGATATGCAAGAGGCTGTCGCCGTGAAAGCGGGATTTTACGAAAAATTTGGGTTTCCCGGTATAGAGGAATGCATTGACGGAACTCATATTCTTATTTTTCCCCCTCCTGCAGAACATCCTGTTCATCCTGGCAGAGTGTATGTGAACAGAAAGAACAGTCATTCCATAAACTGTCAGCTAATATGCGACTCTAATTTGAAAATTTTAAATATCAATGCTCGTTTTCCCGGGTCAGTTCACGACAGTGCCGTTTGGATGATGAGTAATGTTAAGGAAATTATGAGAAACAACCATATGCAGGCCGATAGAACAACATGGCTTTTAGGAGATTCAGGGTATCCTTTAGCACCGTTTCTTTTGAACCCTATCATTGGAGCCGAAGATAATACACCAGAGGGCCGTTACAACAAAGCACATACTCGTGCGAGGAACTGTGTTGAACGTTGTATTGGTCTGCTGAAATCATATTTTAGGTGTTTGCTCAAAGACAGAGTTCTGCACTATTCACCCGAAGTTGCAGGAAAAATTATATACTCATGTGCTGTTTTACACAATATCTTACGGATAAGAAATTTTGAAAATGACGAAATCAACATTGTCTATGACAATGAGAACTACAATAATGAAGAACTGGAATATGAAGAACACAATTTACTGCATGAAGGGCGCATCACAAGAAATAATTTAATACTACAACATTTTCAATAATATATTTATTTTTTTAAAACAAAATAATTAAACTATTAAACAGAATTGTCCAAAACATCAAAATTTACACTAGGATATTTTAATTTCAATTTCATTTCTTTTAAGAACACTTCACGCTTTTTTAACTCAACCAATTTTTTTAAGTTATTATTAATTTCTTCTAAAGTTCCGTCATTTTTTTTCCAGGACTGAGCAGCAGGAGGTGTATCGTAGGCAGGTATGGGAAAAGTATCTGTTTCAATGGGATCACCAGTATTAAGTTCCTATCTGCAAAGTGTAGCTTTAGTTAAATAAATACCTTATTATTATTATTATTACTTTTTCTAAACTCTTTAAAATTTTAGATGCATTTTCTGTATACGGTTTTTAATGAAAAGGTAAACCATACCCAGTGTCTCGTTGTTCAGAAAAGCTTACTAGTAGATAGAAAAATAGTAAGAGAAAACACAAATTGGGCTTTAGTTTTAGGAAAAATTTTATCGACAAAGTTTATTGACTACGAACACAACAGGAAAAGTTGCATAAGAGGAATTAAAAAAAATTAAATGTTTTGTGAAAATAAAGGATGTCGACAATCAAGGAAAGACATCAAAATATGGATACAAAATGACACTTTAATAACTTGCCGTTGTTAAAAATGTCAAAAAAGTACACGAGAATTTTTTAAGTAACATTCACTTTTAACAATCCAATTAATAAATAAAATATATGTAGTCAGATGTATGAAAAGAAACACTTACCTCGATGTTCTCCATTTCTAGAGTTGGAATCACAAGTACAAGAAAAAATTTTAGCTAGAAAATGTTTCCACTAAACTGATATCAGGCAAAACTGCTCATTTGTTTTTAGTTCGCACTAAATGAGGATTTTTAGATAAGATAAGCACACCTTCAAAGTGACACAATATCCAGTAAATGTTTGTTTAAAACTGAAATATCTATGTGGGAATGATATTTCGAAACAAAAAGAAAAACTTATTTTAGGCTCTCGTATTGAAAACATTTAAGTATATTATAGTACACAAATAACTAGGTTGACAAGTATTTTTTTATAAAATTTACTGAGAAATTGAATTAATCTGTAATCACGAGCAAACAAAATGAACTGTGAGTCATATTTACCATTTATTCTGGTAAAAAATACATTTCAGTGTATCTGTATTCTAGCTAAGAAACTACTGTAATAGGGTCTATCCGACGAATGTCGTCTGTATCGATTTTTATTAGACAGATAATCTCCGAAACTACTGAACCGATTGTTGTCAAATTTTGACGTGTATTAGAAATCTCATAAACAAAATTTTACTAATCCTCTGCTTAATTCAAATTGTCTAAGTTTTACGAAATAATATACTCCGGTATTTGTACGAATCTACTGCGATTTGTTTATTTTCATCATTATATTTGTTTATTATTTACTCTGTCTTGTTCTTTCCACTCCTTTTGCTTGGATGTGTAATTTCAGTTGCAAGCATTGATGAGTGAAGTACTGTCTGAACCTTTCAGACTAATTTTTGAGTTAAAATAACAATGAAAACTGGATCTTGTCCATAAAACATTATATTGTTTAAATACCTTGACAAAATTCTTGTTCTTTGTACATGAACTTACTTATTCCTTAACCTATACAGAAATGATAGAAAAATGAGTTAGCAATACAAAATACATACAAATCTAACATGAACTTTACTGTAGTCAGTTCTTTGCAACACTACAAAAGACACGATTGACACTCAATTTTTTTTTAACTATCTACAAAAAAAATACATACAACAAACGAATGTTTTTTGGTCGTCCTATTTCCTGAAGTCGTTTTTTGCTAATTCTACTACTAACACTATTACAAAACAGTTATACCTAAGTAACGAGAGATTTCTGTTCGCAACCATTATTTCCTTGTGGGATCGCATCCTAATTGAATAAAAATCTTCCTGACGAAGTCTTTCCTTCCGCGATTGTTGCTCATGTTCCGAAAAAGTGATGCTATAAAACAAAAACAAAAAATCAGTCTTATTTTGCCATCTAATGGACAAATTTAGTTTTCAAAGAAGAAGAACCAGTTTGTGATTATATCGCGGTATTAAACGTGATACTCCTGAGGGAGTAATTTTTTCACTTGGGGAAAAATACTTAATTTGAAGTATGACGTCAAAAACACATAATTCAAGTTTTGCTTACCCGTAAGATTTGAAGCATTGTTCTCCTTTCTTAATGGGCGAAAAAGCTCTGATAATCATTGCAGATCCATAATGAATCCACAAATATGCTGAATAGAGGATATAGCCCAGTTCCATACATAGGACTCTCATATTTATGGTGACTATACTAATCGTCCATCCCGATATAGTTGACCTTACACATCTACAGGTTCCAGAAATACAGTTCTTTAAACCTTTCCTCACATCCACTGATCTCCTTCAATAACGTAGACTTTTCTCTTAACAAAACGAAAAATTTCGCAGAAAACAAAGACAATAGTTAGAGTTTGCTGTGAATCAGAAATTCTGCAACTTCCTTGTATCTGTCAGAACGATACAATCGGGTTCGGTGTCATTTTCGTCATTCCTTGCCACAAGCGTGATTTTTAAAGCAAGCAGCCAGTAGTCAGTGAGATACATGGACTGACTAAGAATTTGAAAATCCTTTCCTTTGCACGTTTCGCTAAAATACAACCATCTGTGCCACTTGGTGCATGGTGTCGGATTATGGCAAAGCACCAGGCATCCATAACAGAAGCAACAATCATGGTATCACTTCGTATGGTTTTTCGATAACTAGGATTTTTCCGATTTTGACATCTGTACCGTACTTTTCGTTGGTTTGTAGCTCGATGCTGTTTCTCGTTGACTGAATTAGGTCGTTTTTCTCAGACGGTCGAATTTCGTAGACTCTGACTCTTCGTGCTGAACCGGTTAGGGCTTCTAGGGCTTTTTCCTTTCGCGTGAAGAGTTTTTCGTGCAGACGGTCGGCGTAACACCTCTAGAGAGCTCTCTCGATGTCCTAGAAAACAAAAATAAGAACAAACATTCATAGATTAATTACGATACAAACAGTTTTTTTTTTAACTAAACAATTGGAACATTAAGTTAAATCACAAAGTCATTTGTGTGTTTGAAATTACAACATTCCAAGGTGCTCCAGTTGTGTTTTGGTAATTGTTCTTTAGAAGACACACATTTATTTAAGAAAACTCTATTTCCTAAATTAACAAGTTAAGTAATTTGGGATTGTTTTCCGCCTCTTGAACGTGTTACGATTGGTAACTAACTGTGGTAACTAAAACACTTGAACAGAATGGATCTCCAAAAATTAAAGTTAAGTGAGTTAAAAGCACACACATACTGACGTTGTAATATCATCGATATAGAATATATTACTGAATTTATTCATAACTACAACACTTGGCATGAAAAAGCAACGTTTATCAAGTACGTTTTCTATACAGTTTACTTAAAACAAAAAAAAATGTCTACCAACCTATCTTACAGGAAGAAAAAAAAATTCTTGAAGGTGATCCTCCATTGCCTAAGCCTATTGTCTAATTTGGGCACTTAGTCCACCACTGAAACATATAAATTATGTTGGTGGTATACACTTAATAACACAAATAAATTTATAATCAATAAAAAAAGTTATAAAAAAACCTCAAAATACTAAAGGTAATTATTACTGACTAAATTTTACTTACACCACGGTGTAGCGTAACAAAATGTCATGGATCATTTTGGAGAGTTTAACGTTATTACTTGAGTCAGTTGTTGTTTTCTAGAAGATTGGAAGTATTTCATAATTTCTTCTTTCTTCTATACACCTTTACTAGAAAATTAAACTCAAAGTGAAAATAACGAGAACATGTTTTTCTTACCTTTGCTACAGATATGTATTTATCTTCACTTGTACTGCATTTTACAATAGGGCTAAATTTACGATAAATTACATCTTTTTGTTAGAATTTGTGACTGATGAGGCGAAGCTGGAAGATACTTTTTGAATTTTATTTTCAGGATATAAGTAGAACATATTTACCAAAATTATTTCTTCATATTCTTGGTTGATCCTTTTGCATCTTTAAATTGTTGCAAAAATCAATCAGGAAAATATGGAGGTATATGCTAAACGGTCTCAGGCATTGCTTTTTGTTTATTTAATAAAAGGGAAAACACAATTATTCTATTTTATCTCGAGGTCTTATTTTATTCGTAATAGTGTTTGAACACTTACCAATAATTTTAAATTTTTGATCAAACTCAGTAATACTAGTTGCCAAAAAAATATACAATTTAGTACCCTTCCAAGTCATGAATATCAAAGAAGAAGCAGAGGCGATGTGGTGATGTAAAGAAATTTTGAAGTGATGGTTTTCATTGATTTCAGACCTAAGTAGATTATTATTTTTGCGAATGGTATCGAAACACAAAAAGTATAATGAGCTGGAATAAAAAATTAAGGATTCTACATTTACATTTAGGATTCTCGATCAAATAAAACTGAAACAGAGAAAGTGATTCCAGGACAAGATGTTGAACAAGTCGAAATTCAGCGTGTTGATGAAACTGCCCGTGAAACTTCAATTCGAGCTACGTTTGATGTTATTGGTTTCTCACCAACAAAAAAAGAAAGTGAATATTAATGTAAATGTTAAAAAGTAGATCTAAATAATTCTAACTTATTATTTATATAAGACACGATATAAGACACTAATGTTTTATCAAGCCCATAAAACATCTCACAACAGTAATGTTATGGCCACAAAATATTTCAGTTGTGGATAAAAGATTTTAAGAATAAATTAAGGGAATATTTATTTGTATAAGAGCATTTTTAAGCACCAACTAACCGTGAATATTTGTGTTAATCTGTTATGTATATTTTATAGACCAATTGTCTTATTTTATGTTATATTCGTATACTTGTCTGCTCTTATAATAGTAATAAATTGTTTAATAATTTAGGAATTTGATCAACAAATACTCATTACAATTCATGAAACAAGACAAATGGGAGAAGGATTATTAAAATTCAACGTTGACTTTTTTTTCAAACTCTAGACGTTTCTGTTAAATAAAACAATTCATTATTTGATTTCTCCAGTCTGTTCCTAAAATGGAAATTTTAGAAAAATGTAAAATCCTAGAATATATCCTAACCAGTGAGCAAACAAACTCTAAAGATTTTGACGCCATACAACTTTCTGATGAACTGGAAGTTTTTGCTAGTTCTGTTAAAAAAATACGTCACCGAGGATGTCTTTTACAACATATTATTGAACACATTTTTTCCTAATGTTGATGCACTGAGAATTTTATTATCATTACCTATCAGTGTGGCCAGTGCTGAGCGAAGTTTTTCGAAGCTAAAACTGATAAAAAATTACTTTCGCTGAATAATGCCTGACACAAGACTTGTAGACTTGGCGATTACTTCCAATCAAGCAACGGTTAGGACAAAACTAGTTATATTACAAACACCTTGTGAGAGAATTTTCTGCAATTAAAGCAGGAAAAGTTCCCTTTTAAATTTTGTGTCATCAGCGCGACCGTGTAAATAAGTATAAAGTGTGTGACTATCTACGATTAACTTTTCAATTTTCTCTTGTGAGGATCATCAATGTATTTCTAAAGTATTTACGTATTTGTATAAAAAATATTTTTAACAAAGTGGAAAGGCGGTACATATTTACTTTGTCCCGGGCGGTATAATACCTATTGCCAGTTCTGAGTGTATCTCAGGATATTAACATTTTCTATTGGATCAAATCACAACACGTGATACATGAATTATATCCTCTGTAAAATAACCAGCACTGACTTAGTAACTCTAAACCTATGCTTTGTCCATTAAGGTGAAAAATTTGCTACATTAAACTACAACAAAACCGTTTGGAAACTTTCTGGTTTGTAGAATTCCTTTTACAAGCGGCGGCTTTCTTTAAATTCTCGACAACTTTTTTGTGGCCGTTTTGGGAAGCTGAATAAAGTGGTGTCACACCGTTTTTATTAGCGCCATTGATTTCGGCGCCGGTTGTCACCAAGTAGTCGACAACTTTTTCGTGACCGTTTTGTGAAGCTATGAAAAGTGGTGTCACACCGTCATTCGTGGCGCGATTGATTTCGGCGCCGGCTGTCACCAAGTATTCGACAACTTTTTCGTGACCGTTTTGTGAAACCATGAAAAGTGGTATCGCACCGTTTTTATTAGCGCCATTGATTTCGGCGCCGGCTGTCGCCAAGTATTCGACAACTTTTTCGTGACCGTTTTGTGAAGCTATGTAAAGTGGTGTCGAACCGTTTTTATTAGCGCAATTGATTTCGGCGCCGGCTGTCGCCAAGTATTCGACAACTTTTTCGTGACCGTTTTGTGAAGCTACGTAAAGTGGTGTCGCATCGTCATTCTTGGCGCGATTGATTTCGGCGCCGGCTGCCGCCAAGTATTCGACAACTTTTTCGTGACCGTTTTGTGAAGCTATGTAAAGTGGTGTCGAACCGTTTTTATTAGCGCAATTGACTTCGGCGCCGGCTGTCGCCAAGTATTCGACAACTTTTTCGTGACCAAATTGTGAAGCTATCAAAAGTGGTGTCCAACCGTTTTTATTAGCGCAATTGATTTCGGCGCCGGCTGTCGCCAAGTATTCGACAACTTTTTCGTGACCGTTTTGTGAAGCTACGTAAAGTGGTGTCGCATCGTCATTCTTGGCGCGATTGATTTCGGCGCCGGCTGTCGCCAAGTATTCGACAACTTTTCCGTGACCGTTTTGTGAAGCTATGTAAAGTGGTGTCGAACCGTTTTTATTAGCGCAATTGATTTCGGCGCCGTTTGTCGCCAAGTATTCGACAACTTTTTCGTGACCAAATTGTGAAGCTATCAAAAGTGGTGTCCAACCGTTTTTATTAGCGCGATTGATTTCGGCGCCGGCTGTCGTCAAGTATTCGACAACTTTTTCGTGACCGATTTGTGAAGCCATCAAAAGTGGTGTCCAACCGTCATTACTAGCGCGATTGATTTCGGCGCCGGCTGTCGCCAAGTATTCGACAACTTTTTCGTAACCGTTTTGTGAAGCTACGAAAAGTGGTGTCGCACCGTCTTTAAATGCACGATTGATTTCGGCGCCGGCTGTTGCCAAGTATTCGACAACTTTTTCGTAACCGTTTTGTGAAGCTACGAAAAGTGGTGTCGCACCGTCTTTAAATGCGCGATTGATTTCGGCGCCGGCTGTCGCCAAGTATTCGACAACTTTTTCGTGACCAAATTGTGAAGCTATGAAAAGTGGTGTCCAACCATCATTCCTAGCACGATTGATTTCGGCGCCGGCTGTTGCCAAGTATTCGACAACTTTTTCGTGACCGTTTTGTGAAGCTATGAAAAGTGGTGTCGCACCGTCATTAAATGCGCGATTGATTTCGGCGCCGGCTGTCGCCAAGTATTCGACGACTTTTTCGTAACCGTTTTGTGAAGCTGTGAAAAGTGGTGTTGCACCATTATTCCTAGCGCGATTGATTTCGGCGCCGGCTGTCGCCAAGTATTCGACAACTTTTTCGTGACCGTTTTGTGAAGCTATCAAAAGTGGTGTCCAACCGTCATTACTAGCGCGATTGATTTCGGCGCCGACTGTCACCAAGTATTCGACAATTTTATCGTGACCGTTTTGTGAAGCTATCAAAAGTGGTGTTGCACCATCATTCCTAGCGCGATTGATTTCGGCGCCGTCTGTCATCAAGTATTCTACAAGTTTTTCGTGACCCATTTTAGAAGCTACGTAAAGTGGTGTCTCACCTTGTTTATTACCTCGATTTATTTCAGCGCCTGCCTCCACTAAGCATTCGAAAGAGCTGTCAACACTGCCGCGATTGATTTCTTCACCGACATTCAAAAAATATTGCAAATAATTTTTGTGGCTGTTCTCGGACGCAACGTGAAACGGTGTCTCTCCAAATTTCTTGGGTTTGTTAATTTCGTCATTTAAATGTAATAAATACTTAACAATTTTCAGATGACCACTTTTACTCGCTAATAATAAAGGTGTTTCAGCATTTTCCGCAGTAACAAATTTGGTTTCGTACTCGCGATTTTTCCTGTTTTTCTTCTCTTGGACAGTAAAAAGCTCACATACTTTATCGTATCCAAGTAAAGAAGAATAATATAAAATATTAATCATATCGTTAGGAGAATTTGACTGATGATTGAGTTCATTTTTTTTTGCTTGAAGTAATATTATTTCCGCCCCTAAACTCTCACTTTTTCTAGCATAAGACAACGGTGTCGCATGTAGCAAACTATCGTGTTCTTCAACGTTATTTTTGCTCTGCAAAAAGATTACCGTTTCAAAATATGCTTCGGTTTCTGCTTGTTTATCGAAATTGCTGTCTTCATGCACAATACACTTGTCATTTTCAACCGTTATTTTTATACGCGGATGTCTTTGACCCCATGAAGAAATCACATGTAAAGCACTTCTGCCACCTTTGTCTTTCCGTGTTAAAGTTTTGTCATCATAACTTTTAAGTAATTCATATTTTTTATATAAAACAGCAATATGAGCTTCACAATTTTTAACTAACAACATGTCGAAAAAAAAACGAACATTATTATACTTTGCATTGAACATTAAGTCACCAAGTATATCATAAAAGATATTTAAATTTTTTGAAAAATATGTTGCAGCTAAGTATTCGGCAAAAGAACCATGAATGAAATGTGCCACATCATTTTGGAATTCACTTACAAGACCAACAGACACACATTTTTGTGAATTTTTTTCTTTGTGTTGTTCACAGTCAAGATTTAATCGTTTTAGTATTTCTTTCGAAAATATCACTTTAAGTGCCACTCTTTCGTAATTACCTAAAATTTCCTGTTTTTCTTCGCGAATTCTACTAACCATGTGAGGATTTTTATAAACAAACCCCAATTTTTGTTTGAAAAAATTATTAAATTTTTCATCAATGAAGTATTCGTATAAATCAGTCAAGAGAAATATATTTTCCATAAGTTTCGAATATTTGTCACTGTTTTGACGAAACAATTCAGTAACCATGAAGATTTGAAGCGGAATCCCCAAGATATTAACGTGTTCAATAATCGCGAACGATGATTTAATTTTTGCGACGGCGATCTCAATTTCGTCTCCAGAAATGGAAGAACCTAAACGTTTTCTTACATAATGTTGTTGTTCTTGTTCGTCAAACTGATTTATACTAAGTGCCAACACATTGAATTTTTTTTCTAGAAATGGTTGTAAATGTCTTCTACTAGTAACCCACTGAAGGAAACTTTTTGCTGAGAAACCAAGGATTATTTCCGAAACGGCTTCTAAATGTTCTCCTACAATTTCATCGAGCGCGTCCCACACGTAAACAACATTATTTTTCGCTACACACATTTCGAAAAATCTTCGTTCGAATTTTTTGAGCGACCGACATTTTTCATTTACGATAAATTCTTCAAATGAATCTGTATATTTAGTTGTTTTAGAAAACTTAGGATTGTAAAAAAATGAGTGCACATCGGTAGGATTAATTATAATTGTCCAATGTTTCGGTGAACATTTATTTTTGCAGCTTTTCATTAATTCGGATTTCCCCATGCCCGGATCGCCACATATTAGATTTATGTTATTATCTAACCGTGAAGACCACAGTTTATTTTCGTTCGTACAGTATTTGTCATATAACTTATAAATCTCTAAATCACTAACATCGCCTCTGCTTTTAACCCATTTTAAGTTACAATCACTGGAAAGTTTAAAATAGTGAATTTGTTTGGCTTCTCTATTTTCATTGTAAATTTGTTCCAGTTCTAAATCACTAAAATTGCTATTACTTATATAAACTGTATTGATAAAATTTGATTTTTCCGAATGAAAGTTATTTTTATATTGAGTTGGATTGAATTTAGACGCATAAAGTTCATTTGTTTGATTTTCAAAATTCTGATTTTGTATCTGTAAGAAGTTATAGACATCAATTAATTCACATTGCTTTACTTTGTCTTTAACTTTATCAAAATTATCGCCGCAATTTAAAATGATAATTGTGTTTTCCCAAAATTTTTCTAGGTATTCAATGTTAATAATATTTCGGGAAAGATTCCGCTCAATATAAGGTTCAGGAAGAATCTCTTTTTCTCCCCCTATATAACACGGACCATGTAGCATTTCCACCACCTTGTCCGTTGTGACACTTTCTAAGAATTTTTCGCTATTTTCAAAAGCTGTTGCAAGATTAAGTTCTCCTTTTCCTTGGATCGATATGGTAAAATTTTGCATCAATCTTTCGCGTAAGTCGGGTTTCTGTTTCAAGTTTGATAAATTTTGGAACACGGCATAGTTTTCCATCCACTCCTCATTCTTGCCTTCGCCAATTAGGATGAACTTTTTATCGGGACAGAGCTGGATGGCCTTTTCGACGGTCTCATGTTGAAGTACTATTAATGGACACTTGTCTGTTAACCATAATAGTTGAATAAATATTCTTGGATCTATTTTGTCGATGTTTTTATTATCAATATAACTGACTGCTGGGAAGTACCTTTTTCTTACTTCATTTAATTCTTTAAAGTCAAAAATTTTTTCTTTTCTAAGGTCATCCCACACCGGTTTAAGCTTTTCGTACGATTCTTTTTCAAGTAGCGTAATGTCGAATAAGGAAACAGCTTCTCGAAATATTTTCATTTTATATTTAACGAAGTTGATATTATCTGAGCCAAAAGGTAGGGGCTCAATATGTGAAGATAGAAGCAGTAGACTGATTACACGTTCCATCCACTTCTTGTTTAACTTTTCTTTGATACCTTCTTGGATATTCCACTCAGATAGTCTCTTGAAGAATTTTTCGAATATTTCCTGATCCGAATAATATGTTGTTTTGAAGTTTTCAGCCACACTGTTTTTTAGGATTTCAACTTTTTTTTGATCGGTATACAAATAAAATTTACTAAAAAACTTTTGATATTGTCGAATTTTGGGACGCATTTCTACATTCCAATCTTCTTCTATTATCTTAAACTGATACGCAGAATCTATCTCTGCAAGTTCTGAAGCAGCTTTTACTTTAACAGGAATAATAGAAAATTCCTCTTCTTCTAGTTGAAATGATGTGTTGTCGTCACACTTAAATGGTCTATTGGTAAATAGAATAAATTCGTCAACCTCTTTTTTTATTTCTTGAAAACTTTTGAAATATTTCAGAATGCTGAAGTCTCCTGTTTTGGACATCAAACTTTTTGTGGACAATATTTTATTTTCGTTGTGTTTTAACTGAACTGCTTTTATTTCATTTCCCTTATTTGATTCAGTTTTAATAACTATGTCATCAAAAGCTCCGAACCCTTCTTCATTTGACGAAACATGAAAATTCTTTGTTTCGACGTCTTTTATTAGTTCTAGGACAACAAAGGCGAGAACCACTTCCTCATATTCCTTTCCCCTATCCGTGGTTCCGCTTCTTTTTCTAAAACTCTGGAAAGCAGTAAAGAATTGGAACATGCAATGACAAACTCCGTAAAAGTTCATGTGAATGTAAATGCGGAAGTACAAACCGCACAAAAATGAAATGCCAGCAAGCTTGTGTACAATTGAATTGACCAGTAAAGTAAGGTTAGAATTTAGAATGCGCGGCAGTTCATAATTCAAAAATTCTATTATGGGTTTCTTATGGGAGCTTGATTTTACAGACAAAATACGGCGCATAGGTAGAAATCTTAACTAGTTCATACTACAAGCCATAAAGACTGTACAATTATCTTCCTGTTACTAAAGGTTTAACTATATAAAAAGCTTCTGTTAAAGAAATATTGCAAATTATAAACAACTCTATCCATCGAAGTAACGTACATCGTTTCTAACGTCTTGCGCATGAGTGAAACGGATAATCCAGTAACCCTTGGGAAAGAAAAAGAACGCGAATATTTTGCGGTACTAGTGAGGTTTAGATCGTGAAAATCCCCAAAATATGACAGTTGATTTCGTGATTTAATCACAACAATCATAATCAACTTTTGGGTGATATTAGTTCTGTGATATTAGTTCATATTAGGTTGTATATGTCTGTGGACTGGTTTTTTTGTATTTGTTATTAATAATGACTGAAAGTGTTAACAATAGGGGCAATTACCAATTTTTTTTTTTGTTGAAGATCGGAAATGCATTGTGAACGGAGAAAATTCTTTGCAGTCAAATAATGTAGTGAAAGTCAATTGGTATACTGAATTAAATTAAATGTGCTTGAAGAGTTTATTCGAGCTAGAATGCGAAATAACCAGGTATAAGGTTATGGTAAGTTAATGTATATTGATAAAAGTTCTGTATCAAGTACAATTATGAGGTATTTTGTTTTATTATGTATAGATATTCCTTAAGAGAGGCAACATGTGAAACCCCAAGAGGTGCATTTGTATGTCATCATATGGCTACACCTGCCCTACACGGACGTTATAATGTATGTATTTTGGACCAATAATTTGCGTTCTTGGGACGTACATCTGAAGAAAAGTGAATCAGCTGAGGTCAGAGCCGTGATCTCTGAAAATTCTTTTAATCTCCAAGTCAACATAAAAACAGCTAATGTTGAGGTACAACTTCATGAAAGCTTACGACAAACTGATCGGAGCGAAGCACCACAGCGAAGCACTGCTTTGGCTATTGGGCTCTAAACCAGAATGATCTCAAGAAAATCTATTTCACAGTGTCGAAGGACTATTAGTGTCTGAGGACTATTTAAATGGACCATCAAGACGACAGTTTGTGCGCCAGTTTTTCACCAAAAGTGAATCAGAATTTACATTAGGAAGTGCAATTTTTTATTGTAGAATATTTTTTTTGTTTTGAAATAAATTGTTCTTTAAATTGTGATTTTTTTTAAATGGGTGTTTCAGACCCAATTCGTACTAAAATGAAAGTGATTTTTACTTGTACATGAAAGGTTTAATCAGGAATGCCAAGTTTTTCCTTTTCTAGCAAAAATGTGTGAAAAGAAAAAAGCTTGGGATTGATGATGATTCTTAAATCAAAATTTGGCAATTGACTAAAAACATTTGCAAATATGGGATTTCCTTTATGTATTATTTTAAATTCACAACCGTATCTGTAGCATTTGAAAATCAAAGCCATTTATGTGGAGGGGGAACTCAATGGCAGTATGAACCACTGTACGACATACGTCCGAGGCAAATGTAGTGGTAAAAGTTGAATTTAAATATTTATTAAATACCACCGGTTCCGTTCATGTTTGGTGTCAAGATCAACAGTAAAAATATCAGTCTTCATGGTACAAGTAGTGGGATATATAAGAAAATTACTTTAATGGTAGAATTTAAGCGTTAAAATGACGCCTCGATTTCACCCATAAGGATTACACGGGGAACTGAAATACGGGTCTCGTGTTATGAACTGAGTTCAAATTTCGCGCGTCATTCACTTTACTGGTCAATTGAACAACTTTAAAATAAAGATAGAAACTATAAAAACCGAAAGAGAATTTATATAAATTGTAACCAAAAATTGGTGGAAAATACACTCTCTCTCTTCTCGGGTAGGTGTTCTACTATTTCTCGTCACTTTCCACGTTATATTATACCACCACAAAACCATAAGGGACAAAGCAAAGCAAAAAAAGTTTTTGCAAATACAGCTTAAGTTTAACTACTAAAACATCACAATTAATGGCAAAGAATGGAGGTGGAATAACTAGAATAAGAGTTTAGAAGAAATTGACGAGGTTGTTAACAAAAATTAAATAAAGATAATTTCGAAATAATAAAATCAAACCCTCGTTTTTACTTTAACTGAACAATCTTTACTAAGATCCATTGATTAAATACATATGTATTTAATCAATGTAAGATCCCTTTATTCGTTTCAGGTTGCTTGCATAACTATAGCTCCTCTATTATAAAAATAGTACTTGTACATGAATTTCCTCGAATTGATTTTGCCAAACAGTTCAATTGTTTCTAAATATTCGATTAGTATCTCGAAAAAACGTTTTAGTTGCAATTAGCCAAAACAAAATTATTGGTACAGTGTAATGTAACGATATTGCAAGCCAATGAACACGGACGATGAACCGACAAAAGCAGCACAGTTTAAGGAAATAACTAAGCAATATTATAAGTACCCATCGGTTCATCGACGGGGAAATGGTGAAAATGCATGATATACAGAATAAGCATAAATTGTTGTTAAATAGAGAGAACTAAAAATGTTAGGGGAGTGACGTGTAAACCTCTACGAAGAACACAATAAACGCCTTGTAAAAAATGTAAGTGTTTATGTGCAAGTCCTGGGACACCTAAAGCAAAAGAACAAAAGGAAGAATATTTCAACAGTTTTTTTATGGTAAAAATTAACACGTAGTTACTTTCATTTATTTTTTTATTTCAAAGATCTGGTCAATACAAAACACTTGTCACGTTTTTTTAATAAATTAATTTTGAACCAGTGCTTGCTAACCAAAAATGCCATTTCAATAACCGTCAGTTTTTGATTGACTTTTTCTACACTCTAAAGAAGCCGCCATCTGGTTCAAATCTATTTTTTTATTATAGACCTGTTAAAATTTTAGATTCATTTTCTGCATACAGCTTGAAAAAGTAAAGCAACCACAGTGCACAGCGTTATTTATGTTAATAAAAATACATAAACTCGTTTTTAGTTTTCCTAATGCTTAATTTTTATAATTAATATTAGATATGAATATTCTTGATGTTTTTTTTTATATTTTTTTATTTTTTTATAAAGTGGCATTTAGTCAAGAACGTTCAAACGACCTTCTTGGTATAAGAAACATTTTCCATTTGTGAAAGATATGAAAAATTTTGTCTGCGCAATTTTATAAATGACGGAATAATGTAAAATTAAAAAAAAATAAATTTTTTAAACACATTTTATGGAAATAAAAATATAATCATAAAAGAACAGAAAAACATCTGTAGAATGTTAATTGATCCATACTTTTAGCATCATACTTTAAAACTTACTTTAGTTTTAATAATCGATATTTTTGTTGTACGAATAAAATAATAAAATAAAAGTAAAATATGTGTGGACAGTTAAATGAAAAGAAACACTCACCTCGATGTTCTCCATTTCTAGAGTTGAAATCACTAGTACAAGAAAAACTATAGCCAGAAAACTTTACTACTGAACTGATATCAACTAAAAACGTTCGCTTATTTATAGGCTGCACTAAATGATGACTTTTTGATAACATAAACACACCTTTAAAGTCACGTAAAATATTCAATAAATATTTGTTTAAAACTAAAATATTTTAGTGGGCACGACATTTCAAATAAAAAAAAACTCGTTTTTAGATACTGAAAACAAATAAGTACAGAAATATGATGAACATTTTATTTTTTACTTATTCAATTTAATATTAATAATAATATATAATAAATAATAATAATATTAAATAGAATTTATTTTCCAACAGAAAATGAAAATGTCTATAGTGGATACATATTACAAAATCACATAATACAACAATAAAATAATTATATTTATATACAACCATTGATACTAAGTACACAAATTTAAATTTAAATGTTAACGATATTGTTCTGTCAACAATTCTTTCTTGACAACAGGAGTATTAAATTTTTATGGGAAATATCGAACTGATTATTAGTAGAAATACTATTACATAAACGAAAACAGTTTAAAAGAGGACAATTAAAGTGATGGTGTGTCATATGAAAACCTCAATGGACATCTAGTGCCTAATCTAGATATATTAAAGCTAATTTGGTTATGTAAATCTTGACTAGATATTCTACCACTAACAATCTTTTGTAAAAATATGATACTTGCAGTGCTCCCTCTGTTTATTAATGAAGTATCATTTACCACCCTAAGTAGATCTATTTGATCACAATGTCTTGTTGGATAAGTACCAAACATTTTAAAGTAGAGGTATTTAGTAAGTTTCCTTAGTACGTTCTCTAACAAATCTATATATAATTCTTCAATTATATATAGTATCTTCATACGGCTTCCATACGATACAGCAATACTCAAGTTTTGATCTAACTAAAGCATAGAATAATAATTTAAGACACTGAATATTAGTAAATTCTTTAGTATTTCGATAAATAAAGCCTAAAAGTTTCATAGCTTGATTAGCAAGATGTATAACATGTGGTCTAAACGAAAGCGTATTGTCCATGATGACACCAAGATCTAACAGCTGGTTACAATTTTCAAGAACATAACCCTCTATATTATAGTAAAAATTGAACATATTACTAATCCTACCAAAAGTTATTTTTTTACATTTAGCTTTATTAATTTCAAGCAAATTACTGTCGCACCAGCGATGTAATTTATCGACACAATGTTGTAATTCTAAACAATCCTCCACTCTTGTTATGACTTCCGCTAATTTCAGATCATCAGCATATATAAATGCTTCACAATTCAAATATTTAACTACATCATTATAGAATATGATAAATAATAGTGGGCCTAAATTTGATCCCTGACCCACACCACTGTTAACGTCATACATATATGATTTGAAACCACCATAAAAAACAAATTGCTGTCTCCCTTTTATAAGTGATTTAATAAAGACACCAGTTTATCTCCGATTCCAAAACAGTCCAATTTCTTTAACAGAATGCAGTGATGTACTCTGTCGAACGCTTTAGTTAAATCTATGTAAATTGCATCTACTTGTAAGCGATTATCCAATGCATTCGACACAAACTGCGTAAATTCACAAAGATTAGTGACTGTAGATTTTCCTTTAATGAAGTCATGTTGTTCGGGCACAATCTTAGAAATAGCATGAGAGTACATAATATCTGATATTATACATTCAAATAGTTTCGCAATGTTGGGTAAAATAGCAATAGGTCGATAGTTTTTGATATCGGATTTATCACCTGATTTAAAAATAGGGAGTATACGGGAAATTTTCCATAATTTCGGAAAAACAGATGATATCAAAATTAAGTTAAAAATATGCCTTAAGGGTGGTAACAAACACTCTATACAATCTACAATTAAAAAGGAGGAAGATTATCTACTCCACAGATGTTATTCGCTTTAATTCCTTTAATGGCCTTCAAAATATCAGTCATTTATAGAGATCACATTCAAAATATTACTACTATCACAGTCTAATTTAATATCTAAAAATGGACAACAGTATTTATCACAATATTTACAGGACTTTTCAAACGTATCACAGCATTTAACACTACAAAAAAACATATGACCAGGAATATCAGTTGCTTTCTTCTTTTGATTAATAAATGTCCAGAATTTTCTAGGGTCTTGTTGCAACGACTTTTCAGCCTTTCTTATAAAGTGTACATATTCCACATGAATTTTACGTCTAATATCACGCCTTAGTTCATATAGATGATGTAACGATTTTGTTTTCCTGTAATAGTTATTTATATTATGAGTGCGGTAGGTAACATTTTGCAGGTTGAGGTCCTAATTTGCCACCCGACGCGAAGCGGAGGGTGGCATGGGACCGAAACCTGCAAAATGCCTAACGCACGAAAATTGTATTAAATTTTTTCGCCGACATTGATTTTATTTTAAAAAATATTTGTTTTTAAAAATATTTTTCGAAATGGAAATAATGAAGTGACAGCTTATAGACTTGACGTTTACTGAAGGAATCTATAATACCGGCAGCCACGAGATGGCGCCATGTGATTTTTTTTTTAATAATTCATTTTTTCTCATTCAAAAGGTTTGATCCAACAAAACATGATGTAAAGTAGTATTCTAGTATGTTTTCTTTTATTATTTATACAGAACTTTTTTTATTAGAGCTTCTAGAAGCTAATGCATGTTGAATTACTTTGGCACCCAAAGGCGGTAAAGCAACGGTAAATTGATATTTGGTGCGTAAAGTCATTGCTACGCGGCATGTCAAAGGTGTATGAATGTTTTGTTTACATGTCAGGAGGCGAAAATAGTTATTTACGTGGCAAGCTTAGTAAATTAGCCTTTACGGGCGAGCCGGAATGTTTGCAGGGCGAGCGACGTAGGAGCGAGTCCTGTAATCCGGTGAGCCCCAGTAAAGGCTAGTTGCAAGCGAGCCGCGTACAACGTTTTACTTCCTCTTGCTGAAAATCCTGAAAATGAACAACTTTGGGATTTCTAGAAATTTTACTTGAAATTACAGTCATAGAAATTATAGTCATTTTCCATAGTTTGCTCCGGTAACTATGGAAAATTGAATTGTTTGAAAATAACGCGACTGTCAATTTGTAAATTCGATTAATAATTTAAATGGTTTAATTTTGTTTCTGAGCTCTGTTAATTGTGGAATTCGATGAAGATGAAGAGTTTGAAGGTGATTTTAACGTTAGTATTAGCACAGTATTAGTGAGATTAAGAAAAAGGCCGACGCAGCAAATGTGTGTTTGATTCCGGTGCTGTCATGATAACGTTTTACAGGCAAGGTGCCTGTAAAGCTGCCACGGTAACGCTTTACAGGCAGGGTGCGTGTAAAGGCTAATTTTCCGAGTTAGTTCAGACGACAGTAAACGAGCTTTAACAAGACAAGAGGAAGTAAATATTATAGTGACGATTTTTCAGATTGATCGTCATAATTATGTCTCGCGTAAACCATGCTGGATACCTGGAACGTTGTACTCTTGAGTTAAATTTCGGTACCCATTTCTCAATTGCTTCAAATATTTGTATGTAAAAGTTTTCACAGGCAGACTCAGAATCAAAAGTATTCACAGTTGACACCAGTCTATTTCAGCAATCGTTAAATACAAATCCTCTAAGTTGGCTTTGTAGTAATTAAATTTCGTACGATCATTGACATTTAAAAACGGAATAGATAAATTGCTCTCTTCACAAAAACTCACGTTTAGGCTGGGATGATACTGATCTTCTGTCACCAAAGGAAATTCACTCTTATTCACATTAACATCCAAACCCTCAGTTGAAAAAATTAAATCTAATACTCTTCCATTGGAATTCAAAACTTTGTTATATTAGAGATTACATAAGCTTGAAACAAGACATTCCACCAATTCAGTTATGTTAAAACCCCCACATATAATCATATTAGAAGAATAATCAATAGAATTTTCTAAAAAGTCAAATATCAAGACGTACCTAATCATTTATGCTGAGAGAAGGTGGTAAATAAATGGTAACAATAATAATGTGGTTCTTATTGTTTGAGATTTTAATACCTAACATTTCAACTGATGAGATTGGTGAATTAAAATTAAGTTCCATTACGGAAAATTGATCTCTCACAGCCACTAGAACACCTCCTCCTCGGCCAACTTTCCTATCAGAGCGATAAACATTGAAATACCCAGTTGACAGGACACTAGTATTTAACCACGTTTCAGTTAACACTATTATACAGTATCCATACTACAACAGTTGGTGTAAAATTCAGTAACTTTTGTGTTCAAATTACGTACATTTTTATATAATATATATTAAAACTAATAGATGACGATGACATAGAAGAAGTTGTCTGTTGGATATTCATTCGTTTTTTGTTTCTGTGATTCTTGGTACGCCATTGTAATATTTCAAACGAATCTCATTTTTATCATTCTCCCGACGCCTTTTGAATTCTTTGCGAACAGCAAAAGCCTTATTCTGCTGGGTAACCCTAAGCGGGTAACATTAACTATTCTAAGGTCCAAATCATTTGGAACAGCCGTTTGTATGAGATTTTTAACGGTTTGCTCATCAGCTTGTTTCTGTTGAGCAATTTCACCTTGGTACTCTGGGACGCCTCTTATAATGATATTATGAGATCGCCGTATACGCTCAACACAGCAGCCCCCTCAATTTTTTGTCCTCAGATGCCCGCTGTTCGATTGCCTTTTTCATGTCGTTAACGATAGCCGATAAAGAATTGATGGTTTGGACAAGGTTTTCTTGTATAGGTGGAGTTTCATTATCTGTAGTTGAAGCATTTTGCTCACAGCACTTTTTTTTATCTGCACAGCTCAGATGAGACCATCCACCACAGTCACTACAATAAACTTTTTCTTTTACTGCCGGATTACCACATACAAAACATAACACTTTATCACACTGTTGATTGTACGACAACTTGACGAAGAAAGATATTGTACTAGTATTTTTTTTTTTATTCTTCATGAAATAATAATTAATCAA